ATCAAGGTCTACCAGACCGACCCTTCGAAGGTGAAGGACGAACTGGTGCTGGAGGGGAACGATCTTGAGCAGGTCTCCCGCGAGGCGGCCGTCCTCCACCAGCTGTGCTCGGTCAAGAAGAAGGATATCCGTAAGTTCCTGGATGGTATCTACGTACAGACGAAGACTAATGTAGAGGTCGATGCCTAGGGTAGGTTCACTAAGATGTACGTGCACTTAAGAGGCTTTATCTTACTCTTTTAGTCCAATGTGCTTTTATTTTTAAATTTTTTAACCTATAATGCTTATCCAATCGGATTAATCGTTGTGCACCATTTCCCGCATCAAAAAATGCACGCACTCGTTTTTCTATTTATGATGTGTTGTAAATTCCAGCTTACCTTTTGTTTACCGTAAAGTATAGCAAAGTTACAAGTTACAATTACGCTTGGTTAGCGTGTATGTTCACGTATCTTTGTACATATCGATTTTCTTTTGTAGTGGAAGCATGCGCCCTTCAGCGTTGCTGCGCCTGAGCATGTGGGATAATCCCACATTTGAGCACAACCCCATGCTGCGTTACTGGAAGCGCATGGTGAATAGTACCGGGACTACTCTTTCCTCGCAAAGCATCCCACGACACATCCATGGATATTTGGAGGGCGTGAACCCGCGAACGGAGGCGGTACTGCGGTGGTTTCCATACAAGCAGGAGCTCACGGTAAACTCGCGCTACGTGCCAACATTCAAGGATGTGCTCTACGCACATTACTTTCCAGGGGAGTTCAATGACGACGAGCGTGTGAAATACACTTCCATCAAAACTGGACGAAGCGAGGTCGAGGTAGCTGAGGAAATATTTCTCATGCGCAAGATCAAGCTCATCACGGCACAGCTTCTTCGCAACAAACTTAACAACAGGCCTTTTCGTACACCGGAAGGTGCTGACTTCTCGGACATCGAGCGCCGCTATACATTGGGCATTACCAAGGTTGCTCAGGCCATGGGCACGAGCATGTACAGCACTGATACTTTCGAGCCACTCATCATGTATTCGCCATACTTGGATTTCGGCGATTGTGTTGATCTCATCATTCACAAGCAGCTTCGAACGTCGCAGCAGTACCTCCTTTGCGATATTGTGGTTCATAAGGGGATTCCCCGTGCTCGCCTTCCGCAGGTAAGGGATGACCCCAAGGAGCCTTTGGAGGATTTAGAGCCTTGTCTTTTTCAATTTATAAAGCTACGTCTGGCTGTGCTTTGTCTCATAGCTAAGCAGGAGCAATACGTGGTTGATCATATGTTTGACACTAACCACCGTTACGGTGGGTGTCTGATTCACTTATTTCCTTCTCCTTTAAACCCTGAGATGATTGACAATGAGGTTGAGCATATCGAGGTGGATGTCGAACTGGCCACGAAATGGATGAAACATTATTATGATCATTACGTTGCTCCGCGGAGGGCTGCGTAGTACTGTATATTTTCTGGACAGTTGAACACGAAGCTAAGCCTATACACACATACATAAACGTGTATATACGATAAGTGGGAAAGGCAAACATAGGTTCAGTGTGTATTAATTTGATTTGTCGTCCCATTTCTTTCTTCTGTCGGGATTGCTTTTACTTAGCTATATATTTGAGATAGTTTAGCTTCATATCCTTCATTAAGGCTTTAATTTATCCCTGCAGTCCACACATCGTTGCCTATAAAGCGGCACTAAAGACAGGGAACACAAAAACACAACGCTAACTTGATATCGTGCATTTTACACACATGTCAGCGGATATATCGGATTTTAGTGGGCCGGAGGACAAAATGAATACACTGATAATGTCTATAACGAATCATCTTGCCCAGGATGAAATCGATATGCTCCGAGACACGTTCATTTATATTGATGCTAACGGTGACGGTTACGTGAGTATAGAGGAATTGCTAAGCAAAGTGCTTCAATGTGTTGGTGAAGAACGCTATCCTGCACTTAGCGAGTACATTGGGCCACTTTTCAGGGTTGCGGATAAAGATGAAGACGGTAGATTGAACTTAGCTGAGTTCTTAGTTTCCTTTGCTGACGGCCCAGGCGTGGTACCGGCGGAGATTGTTAACCACTGCGTCGCAGCAATACAGGTGCGTCTTACGGATGAAGAAATCACTGTGTTGCAGGAGAACTTTCATCGCATTGATACTAATCAGGATGGTTTTATTGACTTTGACGAGTTGAAATCGGCATTCCGCAAAATCCTTTTTGATGGGTTTCCTGACTTAAAGGATCATGACTTTAACGAAATTGTGAAGTTTGTGATGTCAAGTGCGGATAGCGGCGGCGATGGTAAATTGTCACTTTCTGAATTTATACGCAGCTATCAGGAAGACCAAGGGGTCCTTCCGGCGTGTTTTATGGATGGCAATACTTCTGAACGTGTCATGCGACAGCTCACAGACGAGGAAATGGATGCACTGACTGTAGCCTTTTCTATTCTCGATAAGGACAACGACGGCTATGTGGTCTTTGCTGATTTGTACAGTGCACTATGCGAAGGCTTGTCGGGCCATGCAGAGGCGAACCAAATTCGTGACCTTTGCGACTTGATCATGACCGCGGCAGACCGTTTTAAAAGTAGCCGCCTGTCCTTGAACGATTTCGTGCTTGGGTTTTTACGCAACATGGAGTTAATGAAAATTGCTCTAGTGACAGCCCAGCAAATCATCGCTAAGGGATGTGAGAAGCTCCAGAGTATGTACAATTCAGGAGAGCTGAGCAAACTCGTGATGGTCTCTGAAGACGTAGACGGTGGCGAACACGGTTGTGTCAATCGTGATGAGCTGCTGAAGGTCATTATCCGGCTGTTCCGAGGTGCATTTTCGGAATGGGACGATGAGGTTTCGACTTCAGTGATGTCTACCATCCTGGCAGGCGTTGAGATCAACAGTAGTGGTCGGATTTCTATGGATGACTTCATTCGGAGTTATGTCGAAAGATCCGGGACGCTCCCGTCTGCGCATCTTCAGCGCTTGGGAGGAGAGCACAGTGGTGCGGAGGAAGAAGGTGTAGTTGACGATCTACCCATCACCACCAGCGATGAGGACCTCGCGCGCATCAGCAGCGCCCTTAGCTCACTGAACCACGCCTGCGACGAGGACGGGTGCATCAGCCTGGAGAGCATCCGTCTTGCGATGGATGAGGTCTTCCCCGAAAATCCCGAAAAGGCCAAAACCATATACGACTACATCGTCAACCGCTTTATCATCTCCAACGGGGATGGCTCGGTGAAGTGGAACCAAAAC